GCACATTGACTGTGTTCTTAGTACTTTCCTTGTGTTTATTTTCTTTTCTTTTTCTGGTTTCAGGAATAATATTTTAGATGCAAGTCACATTTACTAAATGTACAACAAGAATCTGTATTACTTCTGTATGAAATTTGGAATTACTGTATGTGGTAATTAAAACACACTTTGCAGTCCACACTGTCTCTCTGAGGCTCCTTACTCTAGTAATCGTTTTTAAGAGACAATGGAAGGTCGTTTGATTTTCTGTTTTTAAGTTTCTTTATGTTCTTTATGGTGAGAGATAAATATTCATTCATTTCTGAATGTGTGAGCAAGGAATATGTTTTCAATTGCCAGTGGTTATTTATTAGACCTGGGGATTCAGCAATATGTTTCACACCCTTCCACTTAGTTTTATGAGGCCTTAAAATAATTTTCCAAGAAGTATTCACTTCCAATTTGATATTCAGAATTGTTAAACCAATTTTGTAGATAGGTCAGATGTCTTTCCATTTGCTTAGTTTATATGTGTAAGAAATTGCTGGTACATGTGGCTTGTTCCATTTCACTTAAATCTTTTAATTTCTAAGCACTTCTAGACAATAACATTTCCCAATTCTGAACTTGCAATGGGCATAGAGTAGATTTTATAATTTTGATCTAATAGTCTACTTTTTTTAAAAAAAGAGGGTACACCTTGTTGCCTGATCTTTTGATTAGGTATTCTTACAGTCATGATCTGGCAGGTTTCAGATGTTTCTAGATCAACCACAAAATTTTAGAATTGGTACAAGGAGGAGGACCCGGGTGTGTGCAGGAGAGACACTCACACTTATGAAACACCCTTTGAAACTGTAATATTTTTATTAGCATTAGCAATATGACAAACACTACAATCCAGCAAAGTAGACTGAGATAATATAAAACAACTAGCATTAAGTGCATACTCACAGCACCCTTTGCAGGGACCTAAAATGGGTGAGACAGATAACCCTCGAGTAGTCCTAGTTCTGACATAGCAGGAAGATCTCAGCAGCTTAGGCCTAGGTCAGTCCCTTTGTATTAATGCCTGATATAGGGCTGCCATGCATATTCATGAGGGTGTTCAGTCCCCAATATCCATATTTAAACTTCTTCATCCTAACAAGGTCAGGGTGTCCTTCGCTAACAGGCTACCTACCGTTTTACCTCAACTATATTAACAATTGGTTACCAGAGCATTCTTGAGGTTGAACATCTGTGGAGATTCATATCTTAAAATACCCTAAATGAGCATAAACTGGTGTTTTGTGGTTACTTGTCAGCAGTTCAGCATACCTGTGTATCACAGCATTCCATTTTGTGACATCTTGTGATAGAAGGTCAGTCCTATTAGTTGCTTATACTAAGTGTTTTAGGCCTTGGTCCTCAATTAGATTAACTAAGCTATTGTCTTACAGGCTCTGAGGCCTGTAGACTTTTGCATTATCACTTTGATTTATACCTATAGCTTACCTAGCATATACCTACATCAATAGCCAAATGGCTGTCTACAACCTTTGTTTGGAAATCCATTGGAATAAAGGAATGTAGGATGAAAGCTGTGGAAATTAATCCCTATTAGAAATTGAAACATTGGCAGAAGATTCATTTCTATGTACAATCAAAATAAATTGCCATTTTAGATATCTATGCCCTTACCCAGCAAACTAATGAGAGGATTTTACCCTTAATGAAAGAATTCTGGTGGCTTAGCGGGGTAATAAATGAAACAGACAACGAATACACTGCTCAGACAGGGAATGTATAGGTGACAGCTTCATATTTATTGGAATGGGAGCATTTTATACTGGGTCAACAAAAATTGTACTCCTGATGAAAATGTGTGTTGAAATTCATTATGAAAATCTTTTGTGTGTTATCCCAAAAAATATTCCTGGTGAAAAGCCAATACTTTCTGGGAATTCACATGACATAAATTATTATTATTTCTTATATTCACCTAAAAACAGAAAATTAATAGCACATGCTGAATACTCTTTGCCTTCCCAGAAAATTTCATCATTGTGATGGGGACATCAAAGAATAGTGAAGCTATTTTCTCTGAACATCTCAGGAGGATGATAAACAGCAGCTACTAAAGTTTGGTCCTTATAACTTGGATCATAGAGCTTTAAAAGAGCTGGCTGGGGAGCTCCCTGGACCCTTAATGTTGATTTTCAAAAAGTCTTGAAACACTGCAGAAGTTCCAGAAGCCTAGAAGAAAGCAAATGCTGTGTCAATATTTTGCAAGGGTAAATGGAATGACCGAGTGTAACGGTCCAGGGACTAGAGCCTGGGTCTGCAGAACCTCAACAGCTGACATTCACACATTTCTACCAGGAGGTCATAGAGAGCCACACTCAGGGAGCACTGTGGAGAGTAGGTGCCACAGTAAGTACCACCAAGGGAGTCAGAGTGACAGTACCCTGAAGCCCTCTCACTTGCCAAGTGCCCTATTTAACCTCAGGGGTTGCCCCAGGTAGTTGTCTGGGAAACCACATAGACTTTGGCCTGCTGTGACTTCAGACTTCACCTTGTCTCCCGATCTCCAGTCTTCATTCCCAGCCTGACTTTGACTCTGATTCCTGCCCCTGATTCCAGCCTGGTACTACCTCTGACCTCTGGTCCCCAAACTCAGCCTGACTCTGACCCTGACTCTTGCTTACTGAACCTGGGTGTTGTGATTCCTCCAACTCCTGCTCAGTGACTACTGTCCCTGAGATGCAGACTCAGCCCAGCTGTAACTATTAGGCCAGACCACCTAGGCCCTGGTTCCTTACACCCAGGTAATTATAGGCTTGTCAGTCTGACATGGCTCCCTGACAAGATAATGGAGCATGGGATAAATATTATTCATTAATAAAGAAATAAAGGAGGGTAATATAATTACTGCTAATCAACATGGGTTTATGGACAAAAATCCTGTCAAACTAATTTGATATTTTTTGTTGATGAGATCACAAGTTTGATTGATAAAGGTAATAGTGTGTATAATATACTTAGACTTTTGTAAGGCCTTTGATTTGGTACCACACGACATTTTGATTAAAAACCTGGACTGATAAAATTATCATGGCACACATTAAATGGATTAAAAGCTGGCTAACTGATAGGTCTCAAAATGTAATTGTAAATGGGGAATCATCATCCAAAGAGTGTGTTTCTAGTGCCATCCCACACTGACCCTATGCTTTTTAACATTTTTTTCAATGGCCTGGAAGAAAACATAAAATTGTCACTGTTAAAGTTTGGATATGACACAAAAATGGCGGGGTCATGGTGGGGAGGAGACAGGTCACTCATACAGAGTGATCTGGATCATTTTGTAAGCTGGATACAAGCAAACAATATGCCTTTTTAATGGGGCTAAATGTAAAGGTAGGTATTTAGAAAGAAAGAACATAGGCTATATTTACAGGATGGGGGACTGTGTCCAGGGAAACAGTGACTCTGAAAAAGATTTGGAGGTGGTCAGTTATCTGCAGAACATGAACTCCCCAGTACAATGCTGTGGCCAAAAGGGCTAATATGATTATTGGATGCATAAACAGGGGAATATTGAGTAAAATAGAGAGATTATTTTACCTCTGTATTTGGCCCTGGTGTGATGGCTACTGGAACACTGGAATACAGTTCTGGTGTTCAGAATTCAAGAGGATGTTGATAAATAGGAGCAGGTACAGAGAAGAGAGGCTAGAATGATTAAAAGATTAGAAAAATGCCTTATAGTGATTGATGCAAGGAGCTAATTCTGTTTATCTTAACAAAGAGAAGATTAAGGAATGATTTGATTATAGTTTATAAGTACTTACAAGGGGAAATATTTGCTAATGTGCTCTTCAATGTAACAGAGAAAGATATAACAGGATCCCCTGGCTGGAAGTAGAAGCTAAACAAATTCAGAAGGAGAATAGTATGTAAACTTTTAACAGTGTGAATAATTCACCATTGGAACAATTTATCAAAGGTTATGGTGGATTCTTCATCATCTGCAATTTTAAGATCAAGATTGGATGTTTTTCTAAAAGATCTTCTCTAGGAATTATATGGGGGAAGTTCTCTGGCCTGTGTCATACAGGAGATCAGACTAGATGAGCACAATGCTCCATTCAGCCTTGGAATCTGTGACTCTAGTAATTAAATACAACTTTATGATTAGCTATGGAAAGAAGTAACTGTTGTGAAACAATTAAGTACAAATTATAGTAAAAAGCATACAAAAATAAATAAATCCAGACCAAAAGAAATAAGGGTAAAATGAAAAGACCAGTTATAAATTTTCAAATTACTGTGGTTTGGGGAAGCATCTGCTTCAGTTTAAGTTATACTATTTTTACCTGTTTTACTAGCTAAAGGAGAATATTAGGAATTCAAGATTTCACACATCTCCTAATCTCAGATGTCTCTGATAGGCATTCCAATTCTAAAAGGAACCTGAATTTTTAGAACTGAAATAATTTGGGTAACAGATTAATGAAATACTGTAGATGTGATAGTTTAATCCTTTCATTTTTCAAGCACTATTCATATGTACTTACAAAATATATTAAAATGCTATGAAAAGAATCTCAATTCATGTTATTTTTGTTGGTTCTATATAAATCTCGATCAACAAATCAAACAATAAATATTTTATGTGTTTAAATATGTCTAGGACACGACGCAACATATTATTTTATACATTTTTTTAAAAAATCAGGAAAAAAAATAACGAACATAAAGTTCAGACATCTGCTGGCGCTGTTGGCTAAGAAGGGCTTACAACTGCAGATTGTAATGCACTCCTGAGAAATGAAACATCCCACGACCACAAGATCAGACGTGCAGACTCTTTCTCTGGAATTGCTGAGAATACTACAAAGGGATTCAGATCAATTAAAATTCTAGAAAGGAAATATTGAAATTAAAGTACATCTTCCGGAAATAAGAATCCTGGGATGAATCTCGACTAGTGATATTATTTCAGGATCGCCCTGTCATGTGTTTTTATATAAACAATGGCGGATACCGAGAGGAGAACAGCATTCAAAAGGCAAGTCGCGTCTCTCCTTCTGTTGCTTTACGTGTGGGCCATCGGATCCGGAACAGTTCGGTATTCTGTTCCCGAAGAAATGGAAAGCGGGTCCTTTGTAGCTAATATAGGAAAGGATCTAGGGCTAGACCTGAAGGAGTTTGTTCGCAGGACTCGCATTGTTACTGAAGACGGCAGCCAGTATTTCCACCTAAATGGCAATACAGGCGACTTGTTTATTAAAGAGAAAGTGGACAGAGAAATATTGTGCGGGCAAACTGACCCCTGCACGGTGCAATTTGAAATAATCCTGGATAATCCTTTACAATCTTATCGAATTGAGGTGAGGGTTTATGATATAAATGATCATTCTCCAGTGTTCTTGGAAAGTGAACTACGTTTTAAAATCCCGGAAACGACTCCCCGAGGATCTCGGTTTCCTCTAGAGAGCGCTCAGGACTTAGATGTGGGAAACAACAGCCTCCAGAACTACAGCATTAGCACCAATGCCCATTTTCGTGTGTATACCGGTGAACACAGTGACGGCAGGAAATATGCAGAGCTAGTGCTGGATAAAGTATTGGATAGAGAGCATCAGCCGGAGGTGAGTCTGTTGCTCACGGCTGTAGATGGCGGCTCCCCTCCGAGATCCGGCACAGCAAAAATCCTTATCATTGTTCTGGATGCCAGCGACAATCTCCCTGTGTTCTCTCAAACCATTTACAAAGCCCGAGTTCTGGAAAACAGCCCCAAAGATTATCTGGTTGTTACTGTTTCTGCTACTGATTTAGACGAGGGAAATTATGGGGAAATATGCTATTCTTTCAGCCAAAAATCCAAAGAAAATAGCAAAACCTTTAAGATAAATCCAATGACAGGGGAAATTCGACTCACAGGCGCAATTGACTTTGAAATGATTGAGACTTACGAGTTAAACATTCAGGCCACAGATGGCGGGGGTCTGTCTGCGCACTGCAAAGTGCTTGTTGTCGTTCTAGATGTGAATGACAATGCCCCAGAAGTGATAGTAACATCCTTCATCAGCCCGATACTTGAGGACTCCTTGGCTGAAACAGTGGTGGCGCTTTTCATTGTCAGAGACCGGGACTCTGGGGACAACGGGAGAACAGTATGTTCCATAGAAGATGACGTTCCGTTTTCTTTAAAAACAACTTTAAAAAATTCCTACTCTCTGGTGAAAGTACACTTGACCTAGAGAAAGTTTCCACCTATGATATAACCATCAGTGTTCAGGATTTGGGATCTCCCAGTCTCTCTACTGAAAAAAACCGTCACAGTGAAAATATCCGACATTAATGACAATTCCCCAGAGTTCAATCAAACATCATACACTATGTATGTCCGAGAAAACAACGGGCCAGGGATAAAGATTGGCAATATCAAGGCTTTTGATTCGGACTCAGAGCAGAATGCCAAAGTGACATACTCTCTATTGCCTGCTGAGGTAGGTGGCCTTCCGCTGCTCTCCTATATCTCCATAAACTCGGAAAATGGGAATGTGTACGTTCTGCGATCCATGGATTATGAACAGATAAGAGAGGTCCAGGTTACAGTGAGCGCTGCAGATGGCGGGTCCCCTCCACTGAGCTCTGAAGTCATTATCCGAGTTGTGATAACTGATGAAAATGACAACGCGCCCTTCATTTTATACCCTCTGCAGAACATCAGCTCCCCAGCTAATGACCTGGTTCCCAGATCGGCGGAGGCGGGTTACCTGGTGACGAAGGTGGTGGCTGTGGATGGGGATTCCGGTCAGAATTCTTGGCTTTCCTATCACTTGTTGAAGGCCACTGACCCAGGTCTCTTCACTGTGGCTTCCCCAAATGGTGAAATCAGAACCACGAGGCTAATAACAGACCGAGATACGGATGAAGCAAAAACTCATTGTGCTTGTTAGAGACAGTGGAGAATTGCCCCTTTCTTCATCTGCAACTTTGAACATAGCTTTAGTGGATGAGTTTTCGGACTTGTATATGCAGTTTACTGATGTAGTTGAGGGAGATGAAAAGGATGACACATTAACTACGTATTTAGTAATTTCTTTGTGTTTAATTTCGTTTCTTTTTCTAATTTCAATAATTATATTTTCAATAATCAAGCTACTTCGGAGAAGAAAGTATGGAGGAACATGCATGTCTGCTTCTGGCATTGTTGATGGCGATGGCAACTTCCAGAATAATTTGACGCGTAACGGAACTCTGTCTCATAATTATCGTTATGAAGTTTGTTTAACATCTGGTTCGGGAACTAGCGAGTTCAAATTCCTGAGACCTGTTATCGCCAGTCTCCCAGCTCAGCACAGCAATTCTGGAACGGATTTCGTGAAAGAACAGGATCTTGTTATTAACTCGCATCTGAATAAAGAAATGGAATCTGCCAGTCAGGTGAGACTCTCTGCTGCTTAAATATATTTCCCCTCTTTTCTAGCCCAATATGCAATATATTATTGTTTTAACGCCTGTATAGATTTCAATAATATTAATTGAACTTTTATGTTGAAATATTTGCAGTATCCCTCTGTATTTCCTCCAGTATACATATGGTGTATGGAAGTGATTTTAATACTGGTGGGAGTTAATTATATAATTTTACTTGCTAAGGTTTTAGTTGAGATATCGGTGTTACTGTTTCTTAAACATGTTACCTTGTTATTTTCACGGAAGTGGAAATTAAAATATTTCTTTAAGTGTTACATCAAAACGGTTTCACTGAAATATAGAGAATAAATCTCTGAATGGGGAGGAGGGAGATATTGCACAAGAGATTCGGAGCTACCGGATGCAATAGAAGTCAGAGTGTGCGAAAATGAGTGATGTGTAATCAACTGCTTTGGGAGCGCCGATTTGTGCCCTTAGAAAAGAACACTGTTGTCCTGAGCTGTCAACGTTTCACAAGGCGAGTTCTTCTCTTTCCTTTCCGAGGGCATTTGTAGTATGCAAATTCTGGCGGTGCTTAGTTTATATCTCTAATATGGAAACAGTTCCTCTCTGTGATCGATATCTTGGAATCGTAAAAGAAGGCCCATAGAACAGTCAAACTCCATTAATGAAAGTTTTTTAAATATAAATGAATGGTTTTATGTTATTCTCCTTAAAATTATCCTATGCAGGGAGTTAATGGTGTGTTTTCCAATTCTTTGCTCATTCGTTGTTTCCGGAAAGCTGAATCAGCATATTAATTCCTCCTATCCTGCTAAATGTATCGGTAAATAGCATTGCTTTTTTGTTTTCTTCCTTGGTATTCTCTCTGATTTAGAGTCCAATTAACCGGTTATAGAAAAGAGAAACTAGGAAAAAATAAATACTCAAAATATTGACAAGTATGTAATCGTTTGAGAAGCTATAAAACATTAAAATCGTAAAGTCTTATTATCTTGAAAAAATATGGCATAAAATAATCCGTTTTGCTGAAGATTTCAAAGTCAATACAGAATGGTTTAATAGTATTTTGACAAAATGCACTGAGGATAAGAAAATAACTTCATTTTGAAGGTTACTACATCCTTCTTCCGTTTGTACCGTCTTTCCATCTGCCTGCCTCCCCCCCACCCCATATGCTTCAATTTCGGTATGTTATCTTAGTACCAATTGTGTGTGTGTATACGGGCGCACACACACACACATACAGAGAGAAAGATTGTATGCGCTATAATTACTCGTCAACTTCAATGAAGGATTTGATTTCAAATACAGGAAATAGCATGAACTGAATGGGTGAAATGCTAGATAACTAATGTTAATGGTAAAACTCCCACTAACTTAAATGGGCCAGGATTTCACAGACAATATCTCTTCTCTGGATAAAGCAGAGGATTGAGATGAGGGAATCCATAGACTGAAGAGTCGGTCCAGAAGTTCAGCCATGTTTTCTATTTGCTGTTCAGTGAAGGAGGTAGAAGTAATTGCAACTTCAGTATATTTCATGTTGATTTTTATACTGTTCTTTACCCTCCTGCCACTTACACATTTAAATAGGGACTAACAAACAAAAAATGAAATTGAGTAGATGTTCTGATAAAGCAAGTGAATAACGCGAGGTATTCTAGATAAAGCAAAATGGGGAAATTAGCTATTTATGTTGTATCTGTGAACTTCTGGGAGATATTAGAGCATAATGGCTGGTTTCCATCCTGTGGCTGTATTTAACAGGGGTCCCATATAGTACTCAACCAAGACTCTTGGGACCCATACCAGGAGACTGAAGTTCACTTCCTGTTGGCCAAACCATTTTCAGTTGTAAAGATTGTTTCACTTTCTCATTGTAGCTCTGAAAAATGTGGAAGTCTACTACTGAATTTAGTGAGAATTGGATCTGGCCCTCTGTGGATAAAAAATATCGTTCTTATTCACCACCTACACTTGTTTGGGAGCCAGTCACCTAGTCATGCAATGTAGTGTCGACACAAGGGTTTCAAGGACAAGAGAAAATATTGCCAATTAGCTTGGACTGGCTATGAAGTTGCATCCTAGCTGTTGCATTCACCACGGCTGAATTTGCCTCCCACTATACCTATAGTGAACCTGAGATTGAGGCGCAGACCCTTGTGATTCGTTTTCAGCATCTCTTCATGATGGACCATAATAGCCTCCTTACAGTACCCCTGGGGGGGGGGGGATTCTGTGCCAAACAATTAAAAATTCTGCATCAAAAAATTAAAAATTCTGTGCACAATATTTTAAAATTCTGCAAATTTTATTTGTCAAAATAACCCTACATAATTACACCAGTTTCAATTATTTTGATAATTTGTTTCAAAATACCTGTCAGCAAGTATGTAACAATACAGACACACACAAAAATTCCCCTGAGGACTAGAGTGTTTAAGAAATCCCGGTAACAACCCAGTTCCTGTTTCTCTGTCCCCTTCACACACACACCTGAGCCCAGCTGTGCCCTTCCCCCCCCAGACCAGACATCTTCCCCCTTTCTTCCCCAGAACTCAGGGATCCAGAGGAAGAAACAGCCTGATGCTTGGTCCCAGGCTAGTATGGAGTTTCCTGAGTACAGCCCTCACCTTCTCACAGGGCATGTTGGGAACTGCATCTGCCAGGAACCCTCTGGCTCCCTGTCCCTCCCCCCGACAGTATCTTCTATGTGCGAGCTGGGCTCTGTGAGGTCCAGTAGCCCCTCAAAGCGAGGGCTAAAAATCACTGCAGCCCATTTCTGTGGGGGAAAGGAAATTCTGGACACACAGTGTTAATTTCTGCAAAATTCTGCATTGCACAGTGGTGCAGAATTCCCCCAGGAGTAAATTTAAGACAATATGAACTCTAACTTCTGGAAAATGTACATCTCTCTTTGCTTATATCAAGTTCCCTTCATACAATAAGTAAATGTTAGTTTGGGGATCATTGCTGGATTTTATAAAAGTAAAGTGTTCTGTTAACTTGTAATTGGCAGCAGCTATGCCACCTTCCAAGCCCCCCATGAATGAGCCACAATCTCATGAATTGAATGAGAAGTTCAATCCTTCTTTCTGTTAAGACTGCCAGCAAAAGGATGACAATCAGCTTTATATGATGTTCCTTTTTCCCAATTCAACTTGTCCACTGTAAGATCCTAATTCTAACGAACAACTCACTTCACATAAACAGTGAACAGCCACCTGAAAACCATCAATGTTAAGAAGTTGACAGTAACATTGTGTATAGTTAGAGTCTTTTCTTTCAATCTCCAGATGCATTCCAACCTCATTACACAATTATAAATGATTGTACAGAGATATAACTGATTCGCAACCATTTTATCAAGAATATCTTTCCGGGGCAACTCTCTCTGTCTTTCCTCACATATTTGTTGAATACTCGATTCTGTGTCATACTAATTTTATCTCCACGAGTTTGTGATGAGCAGGAAAGCAAAGGCGACATATATAGATCATTACAAACGAGTGTTCATAAAGCTAACCAATAAATTATGTAGTTTTAAATTACTCAGATGTTATAGAAAAATATTTTAGGGATATTTTAGAAAGCGTTAGAAAAATTGTTATTTGGAGTTTCTCTTGCATCTTTCCAGTGGTAAAGTCAGGTACCTTTGTTACTATGAACGGAAAAGTGCAGGTCTTAAAAAGAGAGGGAAAATGAAACTTATAAATGTAAAACATCCTAAAATGACCCAGAATAGCTTTCTTTTCATAAAAAATGTTAGGACTTTAAGGGCTGATATATATGGTATTCGGGGGTATACAGGTTTGCTTGACCCACTGAAAAGGGCATGGATTATTTAGGGGGGAAATGCAAAATTTGGGGAAGAAAGTATTTTTCAGGCTGACCATTTTTAAAATATAGAAGCTATTGGAAGGTGACCAGGGGTTAAAAAAAACCCATAAATTAATCCCATGGCTCTTTGGGAAGGTAATACACTGACAGGATGCCTGTGCAATTTTCAAAAGTTGCTTTAATATATTACTGCCAGGCCATATGGAGTAGCTCAGGACATTGAGTGCCTACCTCAGGGCAGACACCCCAAACTGGTGATGGGTTCCATGATTAGATTTCACCAAATCAGTAACAGGTGTGAACTCCTGGAATACTATAATAGTTTTACCTTGGAGTTACAGTCAGTCCCCCTAGATTTTCCAGTCTATCTTGCACCCAGACAAACTGGATTTAACCATAAATGGTCATTTATACCAAAAATCACAAACATTACAGGTTACTCCCAGTCCCAAGAGACCAGTCACCCAGGTCAAGTTGCATTCTAGAGCTCACACCAAAGGCAACCCTGGTAGTCAATTATATAGTAAACTAACTATAGGTTTATTAGCTAAGAAAAGGAAATGAGATCTGTTGAGAGGTTAAAGCACATAAAATATACCTACAGGTGAGTCACAGTCTCTAATTCCCAAATGGTGGCAGAAAAGTCTTTTCAGGGTAGCCAGATTGTTTCTGGGGATTTCTGCTTTGCTTCTGGTACCCTTCCCTGTAACAGTCCAAACAGTCCTGAGATGCAGGATCTTTCCCTGAATCCAGAGGTCTCACAGAAAACAAGCTGACAGGCTCACCACCCTGATGGGCTCTTTGGTTGATAGAGAGATAGGAGCACATTTAGAGTCTTTGATCTCTGATCAGCACACACAGTGACCACTTGCCTTCAAATTAGCACTTTCCTGTTAAAGTTCTTCATTGCATTATGCAAGGCTTCTTTCTCATTTGATGGGTTCTTTAGCCACAGAGGAATATAGAATGTAAATGTTTGCTATTATATTATAACAGGATACGTATAAGTGAAAACAATGCATGTAACATCCCATTAGTTTTCATTAAGTTGAATACCAAATACATTCTTAAACAATTAACAATCACTTTAATCTATTCTAATACATATGTGAATTGGTTTGGGGCTTTGGCATGAGCTGGCACCTGGCATGCCAGCATCACAATTACATTGATATCACCTCCAA